TCTTATTTTTATTTAGGTTGTGAGAAGTGACCTAAAAGAACTCCAAGATTTAGATCTAAATGGAGCTCCCTATGGATACACACCTTTCTGTGACAGCCGTAAAGAAATGGATGGATACCGTTTCTGGAAATCAGGATACTGGGCATCACATCTTGGGAAAAGGAAATACCATATTAGGTAGGATAACTCCTTATATATTTTTGTGCAGTTTGTGAATTTGATTAAAATCTGGGTCTTGGTATTGATCACTGAGGCATTCAAAAGCAATTGCCCTATAGTCATTCTCAGCAAGAGATGAATAAGGCATGAATGCTGATGACATTGATTTCACTCTTTTATTGTAGCTTCAGCTACTTAATTAAAAAAATATTCCTTTAGGACAGGAAGAGTTTTTGGTTTCTTGTTACTTTTATTAATGTTATCAAAAAGAAGGTGAAACTCCACAAATCTTAATTCTTTTTTTTATCTTTGTAGTGCCTTATATGTTGTGGATCTTAAGAAATTCAGAAAGATTGCAGCAGGAGATAGGCTTCGGGGCCAGTACCAGGCTCTTAGTCAAGATCCAAACAGTCTGTCGAATCTAGATCAGGTATATATGGGTTAAGCAATTTATTTTTTATTTTCTTTATCTTTCTGAATATACATGGAATCATTTTGTATCTCTGTCTATATGTTATGTAATTCTGAAACTATTTGCCCTTTACTGACGTTCTAGCAAATTTTCAGGTGTGCATATGAGCACAGTTCAGAAAACCAAATAATTACTACTTTAAATAATTGTTTAATATGAAAAAAAGAAGGAAAAAAACAGCATAGAGTACAAAGGTATTGCACTGCTGTCCTTTATTTGTAGATGTTCTATGTACATTTGTGTTTTTCTAATGATAATCTTATATTCTGATAAAGGTAATTATATTCTTATTTAACAAGCTCTCTTCCTTCTTTCTTCCTTTTTTCTATTAATGTAAATCTAGTTTTTGTAAGCTCATTTCACTCTAGCGATTGCTGTACATGGTCACCCTGGGGTCACTGTAGTCTTCACTTATATAACTCCACCAATTTTTAAAGCTAGGTGGGGTAGGTCGGGGTGCAAATCACAAGCATGTAAGTGGATTGCAGATGTACAGAACGTACTCAAATTTATTCTTTTCTTCTGTAGTAGAGGCTCTTTAACTCGGCAGAAGATTGATAATACAGCTCATCCAATTTCTGCTTGAGTATAAATAATAATTTTATTCATGTCTGTCTTCGGGTGAACTTCAGAAGGCTTAATAAGTGAGATTGTCCCTGCTTTTGTAATTTTTCTTGTGGAATTACTAAAGCACAAAAGGTTTGTTACCTACCTATAGCAGTAAAGGGATCTTAGAGTAGCAAAGCCCACGTCTCTCAATGCCTGCATTCCACCCCCTTACTCTGCAAGCGAGTTTCTCTCTCTCTCCTACCTAAATACATTACTGCCACTTGCATTTTTTCCAGAAATAAAATTTAAAAATGAAAATAGCAGTTCTTATGATCCTGGACAAAGAAAAGTGGAACCACAGCCACACTACAAACTCAAACTAGACTGAAGACAAGGAGTTGGAGCCTTAAGTATGACTGTTAAGAGCAAAAGACTGATATAACAGCAATAGTCAGATTTTACCTTTCTTTTCTGGACAACAGAATGAATTATTGGCCCTGTATCACACACCTAGAGAGCCCTGATGTGATTAGCTGTTTTTTTCAAACATAGTCTTACCCATATGTACAAGGTGTCTTTCAGAAAGGCCTTAAAGATTCAGAAGCTGGTTACAGGCCTTCCAGCATAATGCTGCTTGTCAGACATAGTCATTATCTAGTGTTCTCAAAATATTAACAATGTGTATCTTTCAATTTTGAGGTTCTTATATTTTCAATGACAGCATTAATAGTTCATAGCATATATCTTTTCTAAATCTGTTGGATCAAATCAAAAGCCACTTAAGTATCAGCTACCCTTCCTTCAGCACATCAGTGCTGAGAGCAGACATTAAGGTAGCTAAATCTTGGCAGAATGGAATTGGAATTACTTTGGAAAGGGAAATATTGCAAAGTAATATTTTCATAGTAATCTGCTTTCTGACTGTATTGATAGAATCACTTTGTCTTCGTTGCTACTACTTACACCAAATCCAGCATCATTCCTAGAAATAGAAACCACAGTGCAATATATTTTACAAGAGTCCTGGAGAGCTTTTATCTACTGATACGGATGCATTATGAGAATTTTTTAAATTTTTATTCTTATTTTAAATATCTGGCTGGAGTGCTCACTGCCCTTCTCAAAGAAGAAGCTATCTCAGCTCTTTGCTGATCTGCCAGCACTCCTGCCTTCATGAGTAGTAGTTATGGTTATGCTAATATAACCACAAAATAGAAGTAGAGAGCATGGAAAAAAAAAGGTAATTTTAAATGCCAGAAATAGAGAGTAAAGAACTCCTAGGGAGAAAAATTACACATGATAAAAACTAGATTTCCAGTACAGCCTATTTAATTGTTCTTTTTTTAAAGAGAAGCATGGAAATGTCTATGTAAAGATGGCAAAACAAATACTTACACTAATAGCAATATTTATCCTAATACTAATTCATTAAAAACTAGGTAATTAACCACCTTTTTCTTTATTTAAAGAATAAAATCAGCAGAAAGGAATGTAAGAGTAGAATCTTTTATTAAGAGGAAATGTTTTTATATTTTTAAATTGAGATTTTATTTTCTAATAAAGATGCTGCTGTAGTTGAGTCCCCCTTTAAAATTATGTGGGTTATCTGACTAAATGTGAAAACAGTCATATTGTAAATCAAATTGAAGAATAACTTTTAAATGTTGTTTGTGAAAGTCTGGAAGACTTTCATTTCAGCAGTTTACATATTTTGAATGAACAAGAATTTTAGCACTGACAGTAAAAACAATCTGTTCTTGTTATTTATTTTTCTGATTCATGAATGTTTCCTCTTTGATCTTCCAGAGATATTTTAGTGTTTTTGAGGATAAATCACTTCCTTCTGAAAAGATAAGCAACTTTTTCTTTAGATTTTTTTTTTTTTAAATTTTCTTCCATTTACTTTAAATCCTGGAACTAGCAGCTGCCTTTCTACTTTCTACTCCATATAAAAACTTATAAATTCACAACTTTGAGAGTTACTGTAGTAACTCAGGAATTGTGATTTCATTTAGAATGTCAGAGAGGCACAACAGAAAACCAATCTCTTTTCTCTTGAAATTGAGATGGTGATAAACCATTTATTTTATCTTCCAAAAATTCATAGAATTTTAGTTTTTCAAAAAAGAAGGCATTTAAATTAATGTTGAATGTCTTGACTCTCAGTATACTTACATTTGATGTAATTTTCCTGTAGTAATGTCTATATTTGAATTAAATTATATGCCTTTCATAATGCAGCTGTATGTGCTATTTTATTCTGTCACATTTAGCAATGTGAATTGGCAAAGTAAGATGTGACTAGTACTTATTTGAGTACTGACATTTATTTTTTAAATATAATGTTGGGGTTGCACATGTGAAGGGGCTTACGAATGGATCTACCAATGATACCTGTTACTTTTAACTATGGCCAGAGTACATGCAGTGTATGACCGCCTGCAGTTTTTCTCATTCGTAAATGCTGTTCCCTACATTCAGCAAGATATTGATTCAGAGTTTTCGTGATGAGAGTATTTGACTATATAGTAAAGGTTTAAAAAAAAAAAAAAAAAAAAAAAAAAGGAAATTTTAAGTGAAGTAGGGAAGATAGCCAGAAGAGCAGTTTAGTAGCTTTTCCTTTTCACGCTGATGTTTCTGGAGTCCATTTCCCTAGAAGGTGGCTAAATTTAGAAATTTAGAGTAGTGGCGTAATCCTGGATTATATGCTTTTGAGCTTTTTTTGCAAATTTGAGGGATGGAAAGATGGTTAAGTTTTGCTTTAATAATTTCACACAGTCTAATTTTGCTCAGTAGTATTTGTAGTGTGACATGCAGTATCTGAACCATAAGTATCAGACAGTAGTATTGCTTAAGGAAGGAAAGAAGTAAGTACAAGAAAAAGTTGCTTGAGAAATGAGAGGTGGAATTGGCCATCAAAATGACCATGACTAAGTTTGAATCTACTTGAAAAAGAACTAGGTGAGCACTTAGAAGGAAACGTAAGAACAATTTGCAGAAACGGTAATAGGCTAAGATATTCTACTTTTAAGTAGTTGCCTGATAACCAGTTACATTAAATTCAATGCTAATTTATGATTTCACAAAATTTATACAGGATCTTCCCAATAATATGATTCATCAAGTAGCTATTAAGTCTCTCCCTCAGGAATGGCTTTGGTGTGAAACCTGGTGTGATGATGAATCCAAGAAAAAGGCTAAAACAATAGACTTGGTGAGTTAATTTTGAGTTAAATAAGGCTTATAGATTAAAACATTTGCTATAATTTCTGAGATAAGTGTATGCGATGTCATGGAGGCAGCCTTGCTGGAAGGCACTGGAACACTACTTCCCGTTCCCTACAATACAGCAACTTTTCTCCTTTCTTCTGAGATCTCTCCTGCTTGCTCTGTACCGGATTTGCTTATGTTAAAGCTGAAAACTGTACCTGAAAATTAAATGTTGCTATCTGTAACTGGATAGGATCAGGGTTTTTCACACCTGTACATATATTTTCCTTATCTTTTTTCCATGTTCAGCCAAGTTAGTGGACCTCTAATGAAATACTGCTAACTGTTTGGGTATTGTGTGCTGCTATTGTGCTTCCTACAAAGCAGATTCCTCCAGAACCTGCTGTGTAGAGGATTTATATTATCATGGGTTTCTCTGTCCATTTCACCACTATAAATTGGAGATAAAGCAGAGATTAAAAAGCATAATGCTGAGGAGACTATCCACATTTAGAAAGAAGAAAATGTCTGTCTTCGGGAATTGAAACAGAGAGAGAAAATGTTCTTCTCTGTTATTATTACCCCCATCCCATTTTTCCCCCATCCTCATTTTTTGACAACCCCCATGCAGTGTGAGTGATACTTCAGAGCTGTAATTCTGAAGAAAAACAGACAATTGGAATCTGGTGCGAATATTCATTATGTAAATAGTTTTGTTTTCTTTGTGTCTTTACAGTTGTTAAAATAAGCTTTTTTGTGCACTAAACATGGGTACTCTCTATTCAAGAAAGATTGAAATTAAGTTACTAGATTTTCTTTCAATCCCCATTATCATGTATCACTTTTTATTATGATTTCCACTTATTTTATGGAAGTAATCAATATATTTTCTAGACAATGCTAGAGGAAGCATCACAAACTTAATAAAAAACATATCAGATTTAATTTCAATATGCTAATGTATATTTTATATCTCGTTTTAAATAATTTAAACAGGGTTTATTTATAATTTGGTTTGTGTGATTTTTTTTTTTTAATTAATATCAAGGTAAATGACCTTGCACGCTGTCCTTCAATGAAATTTAAATGCTGACAAATTATTTTAGGTATGAAATAATTTAGAGCAAAGAAATATGTTGGAGGGTAGAGATATTTGTGTGAGCTGGTGAGAGATGGCCCCATTTATAAAATATGAAAATTTTAGCCAAATATTTAAACTGGTGTGGTGACTAGAATCTACGGTAAATAGCAGTTCTCTGCAAAATATTAAGTTGGTATTTCTGCGCAACTGACTTTTTACTGTACTTCTCTAAATTCCTTGTCAAGATTCGTGATCTGCTGTTGAGTAGTTTCTGTCTGATGTTAAACTTATTTTTCACTTTGAAATAATTGTAGACTATTTTGAAACATTCAGATTATTGTCCTAGTCAACATACGATTACATAACTAGTTTTTAATAATAATACGTTTGGTGTTCTGCTGTTTATTTTTAGTGACGTTGAGGGGGAGATCACTTAAAGTTCCTTGGAGAGGTGGTATATTTTTACATATACTTTGTTTACATCTAGTATGTATGTTTTAAACTTTTAGTGCAACAATCCCCAAACCAAAGAACCAAAATTAAAGGCTGCTGCCCGGATAGTTCCCGAATGGGTTGACTATGACTCTGAGATACGAACGTTAATACAGGAAATCGAAAAAGAGAAGAAAAACAGAACATCATTCTTTCAAAAAGGTAATTTACATGCATATTCATCTGCTAACTCTTTAAAATAAATATTAATATGGTTGAAATTAAGATTGGGGTCAATAGGCACAAATATTGTATTGGTGTAATTTTCCCTGCTCTTAGAGAAATTGTGTGGGTTTTAAGAGTCGCATGATGCTTCTTTACGTAGGAGTTACACTAAGAGGATAAAATCTTCTGTTTCATGCCAAAATCTACAAGAAAATTGTTGGCAGTGTCCTATTCGTAGAGTTCAAACACAACCAACTGTTCCACATGATTTGAGCCACAAATATTAAATAAAGTACATTAGCTTAGACTTCACTTAGAGAATCTAAAGCTAATGCCTTTTAATTCAGTGTAGTCTGTTAAGCAGTAGGTTACTGAGTCTCTATTAATTCATTAGTTCACAAAAACTTTCTCAATTAATTCGAGTCCTCAGTGTCAATCACCTATATTAATTCAGTAGTAAGGTATTGCTTACTTATCTTTTCTTAATTACCTTTTCAGCTTAAAATTTGCTTGAAAGCCACTTGCCATTTAATTTTCTAGCATTAATTTTTTTATTTTACATTGCTTTTCTAACTTCTCAATCCTATAGAGACAGTGCATATTCAAAATACAAAATGTGAGAGACTTAAAAAATAAAGGACAAAAGCTGTACATAAGAATATCTTAGTAAGGTTAAAAGCCTCCTTCCCTCCCAACTAAGAACTGCCGAACACGGAACCGTCAAGATAAATGTTACAGCTGAAATGTGCCAGTTCGGCAAGTGCTGTTTGTCTCAGCATCTCTCACTCTGGGCTTGTCTACGCGGGGCCTTTTCGCACCTGACTGAGCAGAACGGTCTCCTTCACTTTCTCCATACTGCCCAGATTTGCAGCCGTGGTCGCCGGGCCTGGCTGCTTGTGCTCCCCTCCCTTTCAGGCTTTACTCATCCTTTCCAGAAATTTCCATGTTGCTCTCTCTCTTGTCAGACTGTAGTTTACAGGTTTCCCCGCCAGTCTCGGTCTCCGGTCCCATTTCCTTTCCTGTAGCTCTGTGTCCCTGTACGCTCCACCCGACAGCTACCGAAACCCAGGTGCATGTCGGCAGCTTTCTTCGCAGCCTTGCCCAGGCCAGAAGGGAGGGGAACTGAGAACAGAGAAACTGGGAGTCTTTCTAGACTGGAGTCACTGGGAAACGTAGGTAGGATGTCCTGGGAGGTCTCCTGAGCTGCTCTGAGCTGCTCCTTTCTAATATGTTATTGCACGGCCAAGTTTGGGGAGTGTTTCACAGGAACAGCAACAGGCATATTTGCACCAGTTCAAATCTTTGCCGCAACACGTGGGAACGCTACACGTTCCCAAATTAGAAATTAACAGAACGCTGTCATGGACAAACAGGTGTATTTTTCCTAACTCATGGTGTCAGAATACACTAAAATAAATTTGATGTAGCAGACACCTGACATGTAAACAATTATTATTATGGATTGGCAAAGTTAGAAAGAATGGAAAACGTGATCTTACAGCAGGATATGGCAGGAGGCTTTCATAATTACTCTACTACAATGCTATGCTTGGTTAATATATAGTGTACCTAGGGGAAAAAAAAAAGAAATGACAATATAAATGGTGTTTTAGTTTACAGATAGATTTTGGTTTTGTTGTTTTGTTTTGGTTTTTTTACTAAAATTGTTCTAAACAGAGTTAGTTAAATAGCATGAGAAAAAAACCCACTCTTACAGGACTTCCAATAAGACTTGAATGCTTGGAGTAATGTGAAACACAAAAAGGTCATCTCAGCTCTCAAGGTTGAAGAAAAAACTTAGCAGATGATAAATATTTCAAAGACCTGAGTCAGGGAACAAATTCACTTTTCATTACAAAGAATTCGTAGTAGTTTTTATCCTTTGTGAAAGCTTATGGTCAACTTTTAGCAAGGCTCTAAAAATGAAGTTCATGTTGCTGAACTGACTGACTAGCAGTAAATGGAAAGTAAACGGTTTTCTCCACATTTCACAAAACTAGTCATTAAGTCTTTATATAATTGTTTTTTATAATTTATTTTTCCTTTGTTTACAGGTCTTAAGCACGATGAACTTTAGCACAGCCTGTAAAAAGCGATGGTGACAACCCAGTAGTCTTCTGCGAAAGACTGAATGGAAGTTACGACTGTTGGCACTATTTGTAACAGTTTTTAATATGAAGTCAGCTATTTTATAACTTGTAGTGTTATTTAAAAAGTTTTAAATTAAATACAAAAACAGAAGAGAGAAATCCACAGGTACTTGATTTTTTTTTTTAACCAGTATAGAGCAGCTTTCCTAATTTCTTTGGTTTTCTTTTCCTTCTCTAAAAGACAGTTTGCCCCGAGGATTTTAGAATATAAAGAACAATGTGTTTATTCAACTCTCGAAAGATATATTGTGCCAGCCTGGAGGAGGACACACACATTCAATACGTACATGAAAAGTGTTTTGTGCATATTACATGCATTAAGCTGATGTATTTAAAAATAAAGCATTTTGGTTATACGTCCATAGTTTTGTCCCTGGAGAAATGCTGTGGTCACAAGAAAAAATCTCACCATAGCAAAGATACTACATAAAAAAATAGCTTGTGTAATTTAGACCCCATGAATCTAAGTCAACTTTGAAGCTTACTAAAGCAAGGAGTGTGATTTTTCATTGATTATGCAGGATTGCTGCAGTCTTACTAATTTAAAAGAATCATTTTTGATTCTTAGGCTCCTTTTGGTCACTTAAATAGTATGTCATAAAATTCCATTATGTTTTTTGGTTAAGATTATTTTCCAACCAGCATACATTGTATCAGAAGGTCAGTACCTGAAAGCTGTTTCCACTCAGTTTTGATTATCATAATTCTGTTTAGAATTTAAAATAAACTAATAAAATACTTGAGTAATTTTGATTGTCAGTGGTGTCTCCTGTAATTTTCTAAATATGTACTCACAAACCTATTGCTCTAATGGGCTACTGATAATTTGATCCCACAAAAATTGGCAGTGAAAAGTTCTTGCAATACACATATTTGAAAGTAGGAAATTTGTTTATTAAACTGAAACCTAGTGCCTTAAATACATCCTCTGTTGCTTAGGCTGTGCTGGTTTCAAAATACATTGGATGTGACCACAAATTCTTGTAAGAACAGTTTAATGCAGTCTGTCAGTCCAGATGCTTGTAATTATAAAAGATAAGGTAATTTGCACTAAGTCGGTGAATCCATTGTGAGTTGCATAATATTTCCATACCAGCAATAATTGAATAAATAATAAGAAAAATGGAGCATATTTTGTATATACTGTCATTGTCCTCAAGCGTTGGTTATTTAAAATTTCTTACTGTAAGAGGAGGTATTTAAAATCATGCTTTGCTGACATTTTTCAAGTCTTAGTACTATGAGACATGCAAAAATTTTTTTACATGTTTATATGTTTTTCATTATATTACCTTTATGCATTTTGAACAGTTTTAACACGTCACATATGGATTTTAAAAGATCTGTTGTGGGCATTTTCTTTGTATGAAGTACCCAATGAAATATTATTTCCTGTGTAACCCAATAGCAATAATCAGTTAATACTAATTTCAGTTCTCTTGAGCGATGCCATTTCACTGCAGTATCTGTTTTGTTACGCTTGTTCTCGAACATAATTACTTCAGGATATCAGGCAGCAAGTCGAACATATTTGAACATAGAACTTTTTAAAGTTAGTATTTTTATACCATATAGATGGACTTATAATTGACTTAGCAGATGTATATGCACCGTTACCATAAATTCAATGTGTAACAAGGAAACAACTGATACTCTGTATCAGAGAAAAAAAGATCATTAGTCAACTGCTTGCTGCTTTTCTCTTTGGCTTTTTTTTAATCTTATACTTCCATCCTGATGCTTTACTCTGCAGCAGCATTTCACATTGATCTGTCTTGGAATATTGTGCTTGAAGCGTACAATGGAAACCTTTTTTTAAGCCAGAAGTTAAAGGTTTTTTAAGAAACCTTAGTTCTCTTTAATTATGATCTGTGCAGGAAATTTCTGTTACGCAGTATAAATGTGGATAATTTATGCACTGATTTCTTGTTCATTTTATCTGTAGCATCCTGTTCTTTTTAAATTTGGATTACTTCTACAGGCTTTGAAAAAGAAATACCTCTTTAAATACTATTTCCTTGAGCTTACTTAAATGATTAGAATATAATTTCTTAGAAATGTAATTTGCTGGAGATATTTGAAGATTTAAAAGGTTTCATGCCATTTTCTACGGTGTTGTATCTATTTGTAAAAAATGTTTTACAGCCTTTCTTTTTCCTGCCTAATAATATTTTGAAGGAAAGCTCTTTTTTGAAAGGGTGTATTGGTTTATAAAACAAAGAGGCACGGCAAATGTATTAACTACTTTTCAAAGATCTCTTTAAAGCAGCACTTTATTAGTATATCATTATATTTTTTAATATTAAAGCAACAGATTGTATATGTTGTACAAAATATTAAAGGTGCCACTGGAGAAAAAATAGTTATCTTCTATTCTCCTATTTTGTATTACACGATAACCGTTAAATGCTTGGTTAATAGATCCAAGGCAAAAAAAATTGCAGCAAGTTCTCAAATGTCTTTAATTGAAGAAAGTGTTTGTGCTGGGTCAGCAATGGTCAAAACTAGGAATCTGCTGTAGGGTGAGAACTTATGTCTAGTTTCCAGTCTGTGAGCTCTGACCTATGAAAGCGAAGAAAAACCATCCTGGATTATAGGAGTTTTACCAAAACCTGGTTCAAATCAGTACATAAGCAAAGTAATATTTGAACTGTTCAAATGAAGAGTTTATACAGCTTATATTCAGATTACTATTACAGTGTCTTTTCTGGGTCCTACTCTTCTTAATATCAACTAGTAAGTAAGTTTAACAGAAAATGAACAGACCAGACATTAGTGCAGTATTGTTGACGAGCCAGAGCTTTAGTATTGAAAATATTTCTCAGTAAGGTTCATTTTAACCTTTCTCCTAAATCAAGCACTTGCCTTCACACCAAGACTTTACCTTTCCAAGCTAGATAGATGGTTTCTTCTTTCCTGCATATGCTTTGTCGTTATGATTTATTCCTTTGTTTAAAGTCTGGATTTAAACACACAGAGGAAAATGTGAGTGGAAGTCCTGACACATTTGTTGATGGGGTAACAGTATCTTTTATTACATTAGACCAAATCCTCAAATGGTTTAATCCAGCGTCATGTCTCTAGTACATCGCATAGTGCCATGTAAGGGGTAGTCTGTTTCCCAGCATGACAGCGGGCTGCCATCCAGCATGCATTGTTTTCTCTAGCATCTATATTTAGCAGCTACTTTTAGAGTGACGTATTGACTCCTTTGTTGCCATGAGGGGAGCACTCCTTGTACACCACCTTGAAGTCTGGTCTCGGCTCCTGACACACTTCAAGCATTGGCTCAGGTGGCTACGTAACGCAGACTGGTGAAAGGGGCCCTGCAGCAGTGGGAAGCCCGTGCCCTGCTCCCTCCTTCGGGGGGCAGGAGACTCAAAGCTGCTCCCTTCGCTCACACTTCTGCACTGGTGTGGTGAATATCACTTTTGTGCCCACATCTTCTCCTGAGCCTCATTCAAATGCTCTCTCGAGATACACGGATTCAAATCCTTGTGAAGCAGAGAGGTTGAGGACCTCACATCTCCCACGGCCCACAGTGAGGCTATCATGTAAGAGGACAGTCTCAAGACATCACTCGTGTTAGCTGTGATTTCATTCTGAATGTCAGACGCATGTCCCAGCAGCTCCTTCTGACACTTCTCAGCCAACTGTGCGCTGAAAGTCTCAATTTGGTTTGTGAATTCCTCTCCCGAAGGCAGGAGCCACACAGTTACAGCCATAGCCAGTATTGCTGAACCTAAATCTCTCTCTGCTGATGGAGGTCTTGGTTCTTGCACCTTTGAATCTGCACGCTTTTGAATGAAGCACTCTGGCAGCTTCCCATCACACATTGCCAGAAATCTTGAAAAGCATATCACATCATAACTAGCTTTCTCCAGTCATCAGTGTGTCACTCTGGACCAGATTTTGGGCTCTGACAATTGTAAAATATAGAGGCATAGATTGTTTTTGAAGTGCCTTTTGCTAAATATAGAAATTATTTATATTAATGGCTTAAAAATTGAATCAATGCTGCACTCACCTTTTTTTTTAACATAAAGACATGCATGAAAAACACATAAATGAAATCATGTAATTAGTTACATGGTTGCTGACCTTTTATTATCAGATAATTATTTTCTTCCTTTGCAAGAGATAATGGTTCTATACAGATGAATATACATAAAATTGCAGGCCTGAAAGTGCTTGGTCTCTCTACACCTTTGAGGTGCTTCATCTCCAAGGATACTGTAGATACTGTACCGTCAGGTCAGAGTTTCCCAGCATCGCACAGTGCGATTGAGCAGTATGTAGACGTTGCCCAGCAGAGCAAGTAGACAGATTTGCACCTTGTGAAAGGGTGGTGGCAGACATTCCGGTAGTACAAACTCGACTGTTGTTAGACTTCTTGAAGAGAGACTCTCTTTGCTTGCAGATCCTTCCCTTTCAGCACAGAATGGTGCAGGTGAAAGAGAAACAACCAAAACTTCTCCCTTACGGGCCTAAGAGCAAAGGCACTTTCAGCAGGGTCATGTTTTTGTCCACAAGTTCGGTTCTGAGAAGCCAGCTTTCAAACATGGCTCCTTTCAGTTGACTTGTCGTATTGACTCTGTTTTTAACTTCCACTTCCAGGTATTTAACAGACTGATGACACATGGTCAAGTTGACTCACTCCTCCTTTAGTGTAATGTATCTACTCTAAAATGTGAATGTTCTTTTCGTCCATATGTATGTAACAACACCTTTTAGCAGCGGTGTTTGTCAGGGCCTGTAGTTTTAACTACTCATTCAAATGCATGAGGCACGCTGCCATTCTGCTATGATTTACCTCTCATATCATGTTGTATAATAACACCATGTTTTCAATTCTTTACCACCTTTAACATGAGCTATCCTACAGCAAGCGTCTGGCATTCTCTAAAGCACACCGAGTCTTGCAGTTACAGGTCAGAGTTTCCCTACTTACAGTAGGGAAGTATGTTTTGCCCATGGAAAAATTCTTCACATTCAGGAAGATGATGCAAGAGATACACCACTCCCTAGTGCTCTGAAAACTGCCAGAACTTGGCAATATTTTAAGCCCTGACAAACAGCTGCTCAGCTGTGACTCTACCTGTAGCTTCTCCTGTCTTTGCAC